GCACCACAAACGCAGTAGTCATCCTTACCTTTCACAGAGGCACTGAGTTTTATAAATATGAGCATGATAGTGTAGAATAATCATATCCAAGGACCTGTGGTGGGCTCCAAAAAATTTTGGAATCTCTTCTGTAGATGTGGCCTGCTTTCTGGGTCCACTGGTAGAACCTCTTCTAACCGATTCAGTAGATTTGACGAATAGGTGCGAACTGGTAGGAACCCACCTCTGCACTGCTGATACCAACATTGTTCTCTTGTTGACCCTTATTAAGCTATTGCCAGGACTACACTGTTTATTTTTTAAAATTAATTTACAATTTGAGATAGAAGTTAACACTGCTGTGCGAATATTACCAATTTTCAGATATACAGATAAATGATCTAACTACTCAACTATTACTGTCTACTGCAGTCAGTTGATCATATCCTTGTTTATCTATCATCTTACCTAAAGGCTTTGAAGATCTATATCATGGTTTCAATATTTTAACAGGGCCCCCAAGGAGTGCCTGGAGATCAAGGACCTGAAGGAGTACAAGGATCAAAGGCAAGCATTCTAATCATCATTCGCTGATTTTCAGCAGCATAAAACATCTCACTTACATTTATAATCTTTGGAAGCATGTGATTGATTCCTAGCCCTTGGATTAAAGCGCTCCTAGAAAAAGGGGAAAACCGAACACCCTGAGCTCAGAGCTGCCCAGAGTTTCTTACAAAATAGGCAGCTATATAAATGTTGTACCTAAATAAATAAATAATAACAACAACCTGGAAGCTCCTTGATTTTAAACATAACTCTAGAAGTGTGGTTTAAAAGGGACAACGGGTTTCAAATTTGTGGAGAACTTGCCTGCTGCTTAAAACGTTCTGTGAAATTTTTCCTAATTGGCATTTTCAGAGGTCGCTGCTTACTCTCTCCATGTCCATTATTGAAATACGATAATTGCTCTGAAATACTACTTTTTAATAAAAAGCCCTGTTTTTATTTCTAATGGGCTTATGTGTCAGACATTATGGCTTGGTTATGTTTCAATGAAGGCATCATGATATCATTTGTGTCCATTTATGTCATGAATGACATTTCTGTCATTTGTGTCATATTC